CCCCAAAACCCCAAAACCCCAAAACCCCAGATAAAAAGATTCCACTGTATAAAAAGTAGAATTAATACTATCCTAATTAAACTGTAAAGTTTGATTTACAAATATATGCATGTATTCAGATATCAGAGGGTGTGTTAAGTGCCTTTATAATATCAATTGTCGATATGTAAATACTACTCACACCACAAATAACTCCAAAGACTAGGATTAAATAGTGAAATGCTCTTCTTTGAAATTTAATTTCTTCTTTAAATGCTCTGTTGTACATCAATATGGGCATTAAAAATCCTAGGAATGTCATTGTAAATGCCCCTGATAAGTTGAGAAAACTACCAAATTTAGGCACTACTATTGAAAATAATGCAGTCCCAATCACTATCATCGTTCTGTAGAAATATACTTTCAACTAAATCAGATTTATTTCAAATTATTTACTCCTGGAAAAATTGGAGCAGTAGGGATCTTTATAAAGCACTTTGTTTTTTCTATTATTTCAAGAGCAGGTATCACCTATATTGGATAAGATCCCATTAATCCTATGCAATAGAATGCTCTAGCAGCATTAGATATAGAATTGTGTGGTAGATTTAGAGTAACAATATCCTCTATTTTATCACCATATCCCTATAAGTATTATGTCTTAAATTTCTTACAGCGTATGCAAAGCAACCCAAAGAAATCACCAAAGATATGATGAAAATTAAAAGTATCCTAAGCAGAGGTATAAACCTGTCAGGCTTTTTCATAGACTTATGAATGCTCAGAATTACTGCATTACCTTCAAAATTAAAAACTGCTACTCCAAAGAACATCGGCATATTATAGGGTATTAAAGCATTAAGATTATTAAAACTATTTGGATTGTTTTAGATGTTGCTGAAACTGTAGCTGAATATTGTAATCACTATAATTTTATAAGTTCAATCGAAAAATTACATGCGAATACGATTGAGAAACTTGCAAAAATACTGATATAGGAAACAAATTTGAATGTCTTAAGCCAGCAAACTGGGACAAGTAGCATACCTGCTAATGAAATGTAAAGCTATTTCTTGTCGCAAAATCCTGTTGATTGGCACGCTACTTAATCCAATTGTTTTCCAATAAATAATAGGTAAGCTACTCCACAGCCTAGTTGAGAAATGATCAGGCTAAAATCAACGCTGAATTTCCCCCAGGGTCCAAATATCACATGTCCTAAATCAGAATAAGTCTCATACTTTGATCCATATTTCTCCTTGCAGTAGATTTGGAGTTTCATTGTATAGAAATTCAAAACACCAATCATTAGTATACCCATAGAACCACCAACGATACCAAACTAAATTGAATTTCGATTTAATGATTCAAAGATTACGTCAGAAAAAGCATTAGGCATTGCTAAAATACCTATTCCCACAAAGCATTTAAAGATATTAAATACTGTTCCCAACTGCCCTACATTCCCTGACCCGAATTCATGATCCAATATTGATAAATTATGCATGCTATATGTCTCCTAGTTTTTATCAATGTCATCAAAATCCTAATTATTGTGGTTGTTATGACCATTAAATTTATCATTTTTAAAACTCTCGTGCTCTTTATGATCGTCTCTTGAACCATCCAAACCTAATTCTATTATATACTATACTAACTAACCAGGAATAATGATTTATCTATGAGGCATTTCATCGTTATATCTAATCTAGCTACTTAAAGTCTAATTTTTAATAGAACTATGTTAAAATTGTAATACTGCAATATAAAGTACTTTCTGCCTGATAAAGACACATCCTAGAACTGGTTTTCAGTTACATTGTTAAAATCCTGCATTTCTATTTGTATTCCTGAGTTTCTGATATCTATACTCTCAAATTTCTGACTTTAAGGACTGTTTTAAGTTTCCTAGTCCTCATAGATGTCGCTATTTTCCTCAAATTTATGGTTGTACTTAGTTGCCATTTCCAACTATTACTATTGTTTAAATTAAAAATTTCAATTTATTAAACGTATATTCTTCATCAGATAATTGTGCTTATTATGCATTATGGGGTTTTGGGGTTTTGGGGTTTTGGGG